TCTGCAGGGTCAGGAAGAACGTGCCCTCACGTTCTGCTCTCTCCTTTCCCTCTTAACACCTTTGTGAGTTAAGGAGGATTGTCAGATAAGGGCAGAGGGGTCCTGTCAGGGCAGGAATGACAGTCAGAGAAAATCAAATAAAAAAAGGCAACAGAAATGTTTTGATATTTTAAGAAAGGGGAGAAAATGGCTTAATCTGGCATTTGGTCCTGTAAGGAATTGACTTTACTTCCAAATGGAGGTACAGCATTGAAAGGTTCAGAAATAAATAAGGCATTTTCTAACTGTAGCCAAGACTACTAAAACAAGAGGAGAAAAGATATACTGTTAAAAAAAAAAGTGGTTTTAATCAGAATCCGTATCAGATCAGACATGTGGTCAAAGGGAGTAATTGGAATTGGGCCTTGGATTAAGTGAATAGTTAGTTAGCATGGAATCTCTCCAAGAGGCATCGATGTGGTTCCTATAATCTGTGTTGATCTGGTTACAGGGAAAGTACCAAGATGACAAAGGTCAATCAGTCCTTCCTGATTTCTTTTATTATTTACAGACTGTCAGACGTGTTGATATTTGCACAAATTTTGCACCCTGGATTTTAAATTATGTAAATTAAAGGTTAGATTGACCAGCGGTTTCCCTACTGCATCGAGTAAAGAGTTGCACATGCTGGACTTTTCACCCTCTACCACCCACTGCAGTTCACTGCAGATAAAATAAAGTTGGGAAAACTTTGCATTTAAAATGCTGCTTTTTTTCCCTTTGTCATCAGATTGTATCTGAAAGTATGATGGGGTTTCATAAACGATCAACTGAGCAAACCTTCATATTTTATGCTTAAGAAATCCTGTACTCCTAGATGTGCTTCTGTGCCAGCAGAAATAGCAGAAAACAGAAACACTTCATTTATTTTCCTGAAAAGTAGCAGAAGCAAGCTGAACTCACCAAAAGAAATATGGCTAAAAATTATTTAATTAGTAAGAAACAGAATAAGCTTAATGCCTGTCCTGAAAGACAGATGAATCTAGCCAAAGTTGGCAAAATAAAACATGCTGAGATTTAATAAATTAGCAGAAACAGCAGGAGAAATGAATATGGAGAAACTGGAATCCTATTTGGTTAAAGGAAAAAATCTAGTAGCTTAAGAATGACTGAAATGTTGAAGAATATGGTATTGAATTAGAAGTTAAGTGTTAACTCATTTGTTCAAATGTCAAAAATTGGCATAACTGTTGAAAATAAATGCAAAAGTTGATCAAAATTAAGAAGCAAGTTTAAGCTGAAGAAGCTTGACAATCCAAAGCCAACAACCCTACATGCCAGGCAGACCATTTGAAACAGAGGAATGGCTTATAGAAAGACAGCTAATAGAAATGAACAACCCGAACTTATAGTTAAACTACTAATTGTTCAAAATGATTCTGTTTATTCTATTGAGCAACAGAATCTCAATAGTATAAACAACATTCACACAGTGCCCTTATCTAATGTTATTTACAGAGAAACCATTATTCTTGGCAGCAGGAGGAGTAATGATGCTTATTACAGTCAATTTTGTAATTTGTAACTTTTTACCCATTAATATGAATGTAATTATTTTTTATGTTTTTTTTTCTAGGGTTTTTTCAACTTTAATGAACCCTGAGTGTGTTTAAGGACATTTTTTTCAAACATATTTCTCTCAGTTAATTGAATGATTGCTTGATTGACTTTATTGATCTCACAGTGGATAAAATACTCGATATATCAGCTAAAATAGTCAAAGAAGAAGAATGTGCCAAAGGAAGAAAAAGGTGTTTGGATATATACGGGATATACAGTGCGTCCTCATATGACAGCTTAAGCATATAGCTCCAACCTCGAAAGGGTCATGGAAGGGCTGCAACTGCTGCTCTTTCTGTTCTATCTACTTAGTTCCCATCTCCACCCCTGTCCATATCAGTCATTGATACAATATTACCCTCGGTTTGTCCCAGCCCATCATCAAGTCAGGCACTCAGCTTCTCCCAGTTCTCCAGCACCTCTTGTAGACCTCCTTTCCTGCTCCAGGATGCGATGTAGTGACGTGCCCGCTACCACAGGCAGACAGTCCTTGTTCTTATGTGTTTGCACATAGAAGAGATTACAAGGAAGCAGCTTGCCAGGGGCAGGCAGCTGCTGTTTCCTACAGTTCTCAGCAATCTGGGGGGACGACGGCAGGATGCCATGGGGGAAAAGTGGCTCAGCAGCTCTGCTGCTGTTCGCAGGAAAAACTCTTTGGCGGGCCAAAGCCAGGTAGGATCAGATTTTTTTTCCTGCAGGTTCTGCTCCTTAATGGTCAGATATAGATTCACATATACTTGGGTAGTACTTTGGTTTGGTTGAGCCTGGTATTATTGTTTAAAAACATTTTTGAAGTCAACTTTTTATGCATATATAATAATTCATCCAAGGTTCTGATCCATAAAAGTTAGTCCCTATTTGTTTCTGGGTCCACACAGAATATGACTGAACATGCACTGTCTAGGGTTGAGAAGAAATATTTGGTTAATCTTGTTTTCGTGTCCTTAATGTTAAATTCTTAAGAAAATAAGAGGCTTTGTTTGGAAATCAACCAGGAATCTTAGTCTGCTTAACAAGCTGCTTTTTCAGTTTGTTTGCTGCAGCCTCTGAAATCAGCTGTTTGTTGTACAGTAGTTTCTTACAGGTTTTAGTATGAAGATAGGCAGCCTAATGTTTCCATTCTTCTCTGAGAGCAGGGCTTCCTGTTGATTCTTTGGGTTACACCAAGGTCCATTCAACTAGAAACAATCCCAAACACCCTGACATTTCAGTAGTCCCTTTTCTAAAGTCAGCACATGTGCGTGTTTTGTAGCTCAGAGCTATACATATATGTACAGCTTGTATGTTTTGGAGGGTAATTGGCTAATTCTAATCCAATAAATTGGTATTTATGGGGCAATATCTTTAACGTTGCGCTTTTGTTGTAAATTAATGCTTAAAATCTCTTCCAGTAGAATTTAAAATCTTTTTAGATGGAATTTATATGAAAACCAGGGTTTCCTAACAGACTGTACAGATTGAAAACATTGAGGTTATGTGCTGGCTTCAGACTGTGTTTTCGCGGCAATATCATAAAGGAGGATACTTCCTGTCACATACCTCAGTGTTCGTCACTAGGATTACATGTGACAAACTAAAACATAGTGGTGCATGATTCTGAAGGAGAAAAATTACTTTATAGTTTAAAAAAATCTAGCCAATTTGGACAGTATAATGTATTATAATGTCTGGACTCAATACTTTGCAGAACCATTTCTCTCTGCAATTAGAGATTAACGCGTTTAGCAAATTTAATTTAGTTTCTCAGTAAACAGCAAGTTTTGTTTAGGTTAAGTAGATTGGTTTGATTTTTGGCCCTTCCACTTAATATGGTTGTATATTTAGATTTGCTGTTCTATCAGAAGCTTAACCTATACCCCAGTCTGTAGTGTTTTGCAGCCTCTCTTATTTTTATTCCATATTTACCATATTTTCTACTCCATTCATCTTTTCAGCTCCGACTAGCTTATAGGTCACTGACAAAGAAAACAGTCTAACCAGCATGTCACCACCATTCCTAGCCTCAGACGTTTTGTGTTTTTTTTGGGGTGATGTGCTGAGATCAAACACAACAGGTTATTTTATTTCATTAGGTTATAAAGTGACTTCTCGGGGCAGCTGGTTGCACTGAATTTTATTTAGATCTTAAACAAAGAACTAAATAAAGCTTTATGATTTTCTTAAACATTTTGTATGTATTAAACCATGTATGGACATTAATATACCCAGAATGCAAACGCACAACCTTGCCTTGTTAAGTTATTATTTGTACAACACTTCTAAATTGTTATGATTTGAAAATATAATTGTTTTTATGGACAGTAGTTTAAAGCCTCACTAAAGAGTATTTTAGACATGAGATGCGCAATTATAGAAGGCAGATAAACAAGAAATAAAAGATATTATACATAATATGTCATCATATTTTCACAAAGAAATGCTAATCCAGACACAATTTCAAAATGCATATCATTAAGTAATATCACTAAAGGACGTATTTTTATCTGAGGTTTCTGCGTCTGGAAAATTTCCCCTGCTTTTTAGATTTTGCTCAAATGTTATGCTGTTGTTTGACTCCTTCGGGTGATGTTTACAGCATTATGGAAGAATGGAAAAAACAATAAATCAGTGAAAAGTCAGAGGTTTGGTGAGGTTACAGGGAACAGAGGTCTTCTCACGGAAAATCTTGACAGACCTGTCGCACTTGTGCAACTTGAGAAACGTTTCCCTGCTCCAAATGTACCTCCATCTGCCTCATACTTATACACATAAATCACCTGGACACTCTGCAGCCTTGGAGTCATTTTTCAGGTTTGTTTTTTGTTTTTTACAGGTTCAGGTATGAGGTTGAACAAGGACATTTGCTATGAGATCATAGATTTTGTAGTACATAATGTTTCTTTCTGCATATAAGGTATGGCGTTCTTCAACCCTTCACATTGTTAGCCGTCACCCATTAAGTATTTGGATATTTAAGGGGGATTAAAGGTTTCCCAGTGTATGTCTTGGATGAGCTTGAATAATTCCCTTAACTTTATCTTTGATCTTTTTGATGAATACGCCTGATAAGATAAATTATGCATTGTTACCTTGATGAATGAGCTCAAGAAGAGCCGTCATGCACAAAGACTAAAATCCATCCTAATAGCCGAGCGTAGGTTAGTCAGCTCTCATCTGGGTGTCAATATAGTTCATGGTTGTTAGACTAAAACAAGGCCTGTCTTTGTTGTGCTTCACTCACAGGGTTTATGGGTTGGCAAAAGGTTACAGATTCCAGTTTGAACCAGAGAGGGAACTTGATGGTTGTTAGACTCATAGGGAAGGCGTGTCTCCTATTGGGACAGGGGAGGGGACAGGTGTGAATGTTTTGATAGTAAGAACCTTGTTACTCAACCTCTTGCATTCCAGCTTGCATTACTTCCTGTGTCAGCTCAAAGGAACCTAAACCACTGAAAGATTTAGATCACTCTCACGTGGTGCCTGACCAAAAACGCAGGATACAGCAAGACTTTGTGCCGAGCTTGTAATTCCCAGATTGTTTTGGCTGTGTGGACATGGGAGGCAAAGGGGAAGTGGTGGTGCTGAGCAGAATTGAGCCAAAAATGGAGTCTCCACATATCAAATTAAATCGTCTGAGGCTCCGGCCCCGGCATAACCCCTCATGGGAGAAAAGGCGGGTGAAGACCACAGTCCGAAAGAAAAGAGACAGGTAGGTCATGTGAAGGGAGAGGTGTTTTCCATAGAAATAAAGAGTACATTTAATAACATTAATATTAGTTGTAGTATTTTAAATTTAAGAAAAAGCTCCAAACATGATCGCTGGAGTTTTGCAGAAAAAAAGAGGAGAATGCAGCATGGATATAAAGATCAGCTGTATTTTGCACAATGCAGACTGTCTAATCTGGTTTACATAGTCTCTGTTAGTAGGTAACTGCTAACTATATATATATATATATTTTTTAATATTTTTGACACTTGAAGACTTGAAATGAAGGAGATAAAATGTTGTTTCATTATATGGGAATCTTTAAGATTAATATAATCATAAAACTATATTTTCTTTCCTTTTAGTAATATTATGTGTATGAATTTTGCACATGGTAATATGTCTTATTTTTATGATAATCTTAATTTTTTTGTCCTGTTAAAATAATGTTTCAAATTGTTATGTATTTTGTGAGAAAATTCCTATACTTTAACATGGGAGAATCAGAATATACCAAACTGCTGTGAGAATTATAAATGAAGTTAAAATAAACAACAGAATCCCTGAAATGAAGAATTCAAATGTGGATTTCACGTAATGTGTCTAACAGTTTAGGCATGCAGATGGATTCAGTGTAAAGAATGTGGCTGCTATTTCTGGTGGTCATCCTGAGACTGAATTCTTTTCTCATTTATTGGTTCTGTCTTTTTCAGAATACCATTAATTATGTATAAAATGGTCTGAAAGTACCTGTTATTGAGGTCAGTATGAGCTGTGAACTGATCCTTTGGGGGGAAAAACAAAGCTGCAAATAGAACAGATTTATTTAAAGAAATGCAGAAATAAACCTAAAAATTGCTTTTCAATCAGCTTACTTTTATGCTACCTTTGTTGTTTGAATATTAATTTCAATGGAATAGCTGGGTCATAGTAGTTGTTACCAACCCGGTCCTTGAGAACTGCATTATAGTTTGCATTAATCTTGGATATTATTAAACTAAACTTATTTTTATGTTCTTGTGTTTTTAGCCGCTGTTTTAATTAAAAATGATCTCATCAGTTTGGACTATGTGATGTTATCATCACAGTTATGACAAGATCTGCTTTTCAGTTTAACTTGGATTACAAGACATTTTTTCTATAAGGGTTCTGTTTGTTGCTGATAGATTTTGTGGGAAAACATTTTGCTTTTCTGAAGTGAAAATTCTGTAATGAATCAGTTGCAAAGGGATTATGCAAATGTTTTCAGGCGACACCTGCAACCAAGTGGCTGAAAGTTAACCAGGGCTGAAATGCTCTGCATCTCAATGGCGTTTCTCAAGCTGCTAAACTGATCCTGGTTTCAGGTTCAGCTACTTTCAGTCATCTTGATGTAGGGATGACATTTTAAAGAGAAGATTCCTTTAAATTCACCTGAAGATATGAAAGTTCAGCTTAAAATAGATAAGATTAATTTCCTCTTTCACTAGAATTTCAATGATGAAAATGTTAAAAGTATGTCTGCCAGTCTGAGTAAACTTCTATATGTTTAAAACATTCCTTGCTTTGATAATCAGTAAATGTTTATTGAAAGGTGATTTCTTGTGAAACTAGGTCTCATAGTCCCTCCTTCTCTGCTCTGATGAAACTGGTTTTACCAACTTAAATGCATCTTGCTTTGGCTGACTTACAGTTGATCCTGGCATGTATAAAGAGCCTCCTAAACCACAATGGAAAATATTCCAGTTATTCTGTTTCTCATAGCAGCAGCTGCTGTAATGTTTCCTGATATTCACTCACACCTGTGGTTTGCTTGAGATCTGCTGAATCAAAGAATGTGACACCAGCTGAGTGAATCAGCAGACCACTTCCTGTCTCTGTGATCAGGAGGTCACATTTTCATGCTTTTAGGGGGGAGTGTGCCCCATTGTTGGCAGGGAATTGTGCTCCTTCGAGAGAAACAATTTTTTCTTTAGCATTCCTTTTTTTTAAAACTTTAAGAAAAGTGGGGTGATTTATGATTTATATTTTTATCAATTTTAGCTGCAGGTTTCAGATGACATTATTAGAGGTTTCTATTTTTGGGAATGTGTGAGTAGATGGAAGGGTGTGACCCATAGCAAGGCAGATTTGATGTTGTTACAGTGACATCTAGTGGATCTTCTCGGTACTTGTCCACAGCACATTTTGCAAGAACAATAGAGATCCCCCCTTTGTGTGCGCTCTCAGCATCTCTCTGCTCATACCTTTTGTCTCTCCAGGCTAATCCATCTTTTCTTTTCCACTTCTGTCTTCATCATTCCTCTTCTGTTTTTTTATGCGCCTTTGTGTCTCTGCTCATTTGTTTGCATGCATGCGTGTGACTTCTTTACGTGTATGTATGTCTGCACCAGAGATTCCAGCCCCACCGAGATGAGCGTGGATCCCTGGGCCAGCCCGCAGGACCAGGCAGCAGCTGAGGACTCTCGCAGAACCCACTCTCCACCCTCCCCAGACCAGGAGCAGCAGCAGCCGGATAAACTGTGCCTGGAATCATTCTGGAGCGAGGTTGAGAACATCCGACAGGGGTGTGGCGATACAGATCTCAACTCTACCAGGAGAGACTCCAGGCAGTCAGAAGGTAATCAATGTCTAATAGAGCATGGAGAGAAAGAGCAGAAGGAAATGTGTTTATTTCTGATCACTGCAATGCTGTTTACTTCTTAGATCTACTTGAACGTCCATGAATAATACCTTTTCCATGTCAAATTACCATAATGCTTGTTTTATCACAATGACACTGACATGTAGGAGCAGTGGAGCAGATGCCAAGCAACCAAATAAATACAGATTTTCATTTGTGCATTCATATTATCTGATCATTGGACCAGTGCATTTAAAATAATCTGAATTAACTGATGCTGCATGCTTCCTGCATGTGAAATAAAGTCTATATAGTTAAATCAAAATACACTCTGTGGACTGTATTTATGGTCCAAGACAACTTTCTAAGTTATTATGAATGAAGAATTATTTTATGCTTTAATATTGTATTATTGAATGATCATTGTAAAGGGATCAGCAGACCATTGATTTTTACCCAACTGCCAAAGAGTGAACTGATTAGAAAATGCTAAAGTTGTTTTATTTACATATAAACCCGAGTGACAGTTGCTGCTTTATCACAATGTTTCCCCATTACCCCTTTGAAATATTGATATCTTCTTTTGGCGATTCCTAGCCTATAAAATCATTGAACTAATGATGTTGCACCATAAAGCCAAAAAGTACTTTCTACATTAAGAAGTTTGTGATCAGTATTTTATGTTATTTTAACAGTAGTAGGAATAACTGTTGATTGTTTTTGTTTATTTTTTTAAAAAAGCAAGAAAAAATAAAACTTTTGTCGTAAATCGTCAAAACAACCATGATGCTTTAAAGCGGTTGTTTGTTTTTTTTCTTAAGGTTTTCATAACCGTCAGAATTTCATATGTTATGTTCAGCTTAAGCAAATATTTAATTTTCCTTATGTGTACTTTTTTGGATTTACATCTGAATACCGGCTATGTCTTTATCTCAGAGGGAGAACAGGAGGAACAGTGGCTGGCCGACGCTGGCTTATCGACCCTCATCAGCGAGGACAGCGAGGATGTAGACAAGGCCGTTCTGCTCTCCACTCTAACCCGGACGCAAGCAGAAGCTGTTCAGCGCCGCCTGGATTCCTACACGTTATCCCGCCGTAAAAAGAACAAGACACCTCCCAGAGACGTTCGGGACATCTTTAGCTCACCTATCGCCCAGGTAAATATACACACAGCACCAAGGGCATAGATGGGGTGCCTTTCTACTTCATTCATGTTCTTCATCTTAAAACATAGATACACTGATTTCCAAGCCTTGTATATTTCCAGCCTGCGATTAAAAGTCTGCAGTTAAGCCATTAGAGTCATGATACTAAAAGAGAAAATCCTGTGTCTGTCAGGATACTCAGACAAATATAATTTATCACTGAAATATTGTCATAAGCCTATTTCTATTCTAAATATGCCCAAATCTTCTACCATGAAATCCTGTGCAGATTTCTGAAACGCTTCAAGAGATTTCCTTGAAACATGGTCCATTATTACTCCCTGCTTAGTTGTTTTGTATGATTTTACCTGCTTTATTTACATTTCTTAAAGAGGTTGGTCAACAGAAACCTTCAGATTTTCCTGCTGTGATGCCAACCCAGAATGTGTCTTTACGAGGTTTTTCCTGCCATTAGAACCTCAGTCCTTGATCTTATAAATAGCAGTCTTACATCCTGTGCTGTTCCTTTTTTTATTCTAAATCCATGGAGAAAAAGAAAAAAACTGATATTGTACTCTCAGATGGCTAGGACCTCAGATCAGTCTCAATACTCAAATTTCTTTCAAACTTATTCAGCCAAATACTTCTTTAAGCACTGAAGCAACATTGTCATAAGTTAGCATCTGTAATTGTTTTGCTATTAGATTTCACTGCACTGCTTTATACTGTGAAACAGACATTTCTTATTTCTCATTTAGTAATGTTGGATTGAGAAAAAGGGGCTGCAGAGGTTATGCTTTGTTTCTATGGAATGACAGACATTTAGTGTTGGTATAATTTCTCATCCACCCCAGTACCTCTTTTTTGCTTCCTAGGGCTCATCTGCCCTTTTCTTTTCATTTTTTTCTTTTTACATTGGCTTTCATTCTTAGAAAAATAGCATCTCCTTTGACTGCCTCCTAGTCATAATTGCTCCATCCAGCTGCTGCTAAAATTGCCTTGAAGATGATGAGACTTGAATCGTTTTGACTCTTTTTAGCTTCAATGAAAACAAAGCTGAGACTATTTTATTCAGGCCTAATAGAACCTCACAAACCCTGCTTATTGTGGTGTAAAATCATATGTAAAACTGCACGTAACAGATCATGGGCTAATTAGAAATTTTAATTTTATATTAGTAAACAGATCAGCTCTCTTTTGCATGTAATTGGATAAACTTGACACAGATTTGTTGTGGCGTTACTTGGAGAAACTAATACAAACCTTTATTTCCAGTCATCTTGACTGTTGCCACTTGCTTTATGACGGTGCTGTCAAGCAACACTTTAAAAATGGAGGTTTGTTCAACATGTGGCTGCCTGTCTATTGACCGGTACACACAGACCTGCTTCCCATGGATCAAAGACTCTATTTACAAATCCTAACGTTGTTCTTTAAATGCCTGTAGGTCTTGCTCCACTGTTCCCCTCTGATTTAGTCCAGGTTTATTCCCCTTTGCTGGGCATCAGATCAGCCGACCAACAGCTTTTAGTTGTTCTAAAAGCAAAGTGGGAACTTAGAGGTGATCAGGCTTTTTTTCCACTTTGGTTTGCAAACTTTGGAGAACTTTCTCTAAACATTTGACTATTCTTCCTGTGTTTGAATCTCTGTAAAAACAGATTTTTTTCAGTAACGTTTTGCCCAAAGTAAAAAGACATTATCTTCTTAACATCTATGATAAATTTTTTTTATGAGAGTAATAGCATTCTATTTTTTTAAAGGTTGGCTGTCTTTTATTTATCTCCTTTTTCTACGTTTCTTTGGGAAAACTTGCTGAGTTTTTAACTGGGATTTAAAATAAATAACATTCGAATTGATTGTGAGGCATCCACGAGAAACTTTTTAATCCAGTGTTTTGTTTCTCACACCACAATTGACCTATAAAAGAAAGGTAAAATCACATGTAAAGGTCACTCTTTGTCCTCGGGGCTCTGTTTGACAGCAGGGACAGGAACAAGATTCCTCCGATCATTATCAGTGCTTTATCAAAGGAAACACCCTGTATCCCTGTGTTCATTCACTTCCTAACACTGAATGATTTGATTAAAGATCTGATATTTATAACTGTAACTCACCGAAGATAAAGGATTATTATACTAACCATTAAACCTCTGTCCCTCCAGACTTTGCTGCCCGAGTCTCAGAACAGCAACGACCTTCCACAGAATAGCATGGCATCAGTTGCCAAAATGCCTTTTTCAGGTAAGAACTATATGTTATGATCTACTGAAGGGGAAAAAAACACGCACAGATGATTTCAAAGCATTCAAGGCCTTGTGGCGCATACTGAAATGCTCATTTTACCATCTACTGAAACTCAGCCTGTTCTCTGTGCTTGTGATAAGCAAAAATGAAAAACTACTTGAATTATTACACAGTCCTTGTATTATTAAAAATAAATCAACAGGTATGTATGTCATAAAAAGAAACTTCAGAGATCAGAGCTAATGTTAAAATTCCCCTTGCCATATTCAAATTATGTTGTTTTTGGTTTAGATGTTATTGTTTTTTTTTTCTTCTCCTTCCTTGTTCATTCATGCATCAAAAGTGCATAAAGGGGATTTTTTAGAAAGATATCTCTGCCACAGACTTCCTTCACTAAAATGATAAACCATCATGTTGTGTATTTAGCAGTGACACCGGAGCATCAACGGGGCGCTCCTAAGGAGGAATTCCTCATTACTGACATTGCTTACTGTGAACAAGCTGTGATCTTCATGAAACAGGCCAATTTTCCACTGAACAACATCCCACACAGAAAGGAAGATGGCACCCTACCTGTGAGCTTGCTTCTACTTTTCTTTTCCTTATCTTTGATCCTTTAAAATGTCACTGCAATCGGGAACATTAACCTGCTTTGATGAAATGAAAAGCAGTGGGACCTTTGAGTGCAGTGTAGAGTGAAAACCCTGGCATGTATATGATTGCTTTTAGCCAATCTGAGATAAAAAATAGTTTGAAAAACCATTTAGATGTATTTTTTTTATTCAATTATTCTATCAAATTCCTCTGAACTTAAAACTCTTTTTAAGAGAGTGATTTCAAAGAGGCAGTGGTGATTGAAACAGAAATTGTCTGCAATGCCATTTTGTAGCACTGGGCTGTTTAAAGGTAACAGCCAAAGTAGTGGCTTAGTTTAAGATCAAAGTTAACTTTCAGTTAGGTCATTTGAGAAACAGATTTGTTATTAAATGTGGTTTTTAAAATGAAATAAAACTTTATAGGATAATATTCATGTTTTGATATTTAAAAATACCCAATCTCATCAGTAGGAACAGGCATTTTAAGTTCATATCTGATCTGGGGAAGCTGAAGTATTTATCCTGAAGCCTTTGATACGTTTAACACCATTATCAAATGATAGACCTCTTTTCAATATTTTAGAATCTCAAAATTTAAATCCAGTTTTTACTGTAGCCAAGTCGATATCTTTATCTTTACATAATATTTTCTTATTTATTTCAGAACCACATAAATGAGCTCAGTCTAATGACTGATTGTGTCTGTTAAGCTAAACCTTTAGAATTTATTGGAATATCTTATTTATTTCTTTCACTTATTTGTTGGCATTTACAGAAATCTCTCAGGCCGACAGGTCCAGCATAAAGCTGTTTGAGTCACGACAGATCGAAATTGTTCAGTAAATCTAACAAATGTTATTACAAGTCATTTTCAGTACAGCCTCTGCTGTGGATTAGATAATGAGGTTAAGATCGGAAGGAATTAGTGGTAAACAAAGGGAGAGTTGTTACGTCACAGAGTCTGGCAGATTTATATTTTTCTATTTTTAGGCTAAACAGATTTCCTCTGAATAAGGGCCAGTTTATTGGCTTTGATTAATTGATGCGGTTTAATATGAATGAACTTCTAGCTCCTTGGACCATTTCCATTTTTTTCATGACTCTTTCTGTCTTTGTTTTTTTATTTCTCTTTCTCAATCTTTATTTTGCTCCTCTTTTTCAACTTCAATGTCCGCAGCGGATAATCTGCCCAAAATGCCGCCTTGGAGTGACTCGTATTCAAGACCTCTCCCACTGTGACATGAAGAAGATTCGCCAGCTGGCCCTCATCGACATGACGGCGCTGTGCGACCTCTTAGAGCTGGAGGTTAAAAGGCATAAAACTGGAAAGAGAAAGATTGCAGGTGTGAAACCTCTCTGCTGCATTAAAATGTTTAGAATCCAATCCAACTTTATTTATAAAGCACTTTTTCGAAAGACCAAAGTGCTGTACGATGAAGCTACATAAAACTATCATACAGAGTCACAAAACATTAAAAAAACACATAAAAGCATAAAGGACATAACAAAGTTAAAATTAGATCTATGAAATCTATAATAAAATACAATGAAAATATTTTAAAATAATTTATTTGCAGGTTAAAATCGACATCTCACACAGTTTTGAAAGCGATTTAAAATCAGACAGAGAGGTAGACTTTTCAATCCAGATTGGAAGGTTGTTCCACATTTTGAGAAGCTGTGAAGAGGCTCAGAAATTCGGATGATGGGCCCAGTTTACAGTCGATATGGGGAATCATGCCGTCTGCTGTCATTGATCCACTGTTTTCAATAAAGTAACACAAAGCAACATATCAAATCCTTTGTTGAGATGCACCTGTATGGAAATCCTTTTAGGTATTTGTCCTAAATCAGAGAGTCTCATTAAAATGAGGCTTTTACGGTTAAAATATTCTGTTTTTATTTAGAAACAAATTTTCTTATCCTTTATTCTGGAAATATTTATTTAGTTATTCAAGAAAACAGGTTTATATCAGGTAATTATTGTTCATTTTCCTATCTGTTACAGAGAGCAAACTTTTTGGGGTACCGCTTGCCACACTGCTGGAAACTGACCAGAAGATGAAACCAAACAGCTCGATTCCTCTCTTCCTGCAAACGGTATGTATCTGCATGCTTTGCATGCACAGCGCAGCGTTTCAAATAGTTGAAATAAATATCAGAAGCACCTATTTGCATACAACTGAACCAGATAAAACTTAAAAACTCTTGTAATCTCTGTGCTCGGAGTTTTGACCACATAGTGTTTGTAGAATTACTTATTGTAGAGATAAGCAGGAGATGTATATTCTGACGTCAGGTTCTGTTGATGCTTTTTGTGCAGCTGCTGTCGTTTCTGGAGAAAAAAGGAGTCGATTCAGAGGGGATTCTGCGGGTTCCAGGATCTCAATCCAGAATAAAGGTACAGTGTCTCAGCTAATAGCTATTTTCACATGAAGTAAACGCAGTCTTAAGATCTTAATGGCTGCAAAACATTTATTGTTTCTGACTTTGAAATGTCAGACCTGCTTGAATGTCAATTGGCTTTTCTAAGATTAACAACATCTGACATTTAACAAAGTCCAGTAAGACATAATCAATTATTCTTTTTTTAGGCTGCAGCGAGGTGGCCTCTTATCACCCTGTACTTTATTAATTGTATTGTAGTATCGGGTAAATTGTAGTAGCCACCAGAGGGCGCCAGATAGCCCTGTATCGCTGAACAAGACTCAACGCAGTAATGGCTGATATACTAAACTAGACTTGATAACAATGTTAGAATCTCAATGCTAGAATTTATTGCTCTTTTAAAATCAGCCTATGGTCACATTTAATAAATGAGTCATATATATATATATATATATATATATATATATATATATATATA